ACCCTTCAACATCGGCTGGAGGATCTGGCCCACATGGCGGCGAAGCATGGATGTGCCCCCCAGCCCCGGCACTGCGTGGTCTGGCAACCACTGGTGGATTTTGCGCGCGGGCACGGTCGGTTTCGTCGGCGCACGGCCCCACTCGACGATGGATTGATCGGAGAGGTCGTCTACCGCGTCGCCTGCGCCTTCGCCCAGCCGTCGCAGCACCGCGCAGTCATCCTGCGCACCCCGGCTGCCTCCCCGGCTGAGTTCGCTTCGGCCGAGGAGCGACGGCTCGGGCAGGCACGGGTTCAGGGCTTTGTCAAATGGCCTCGGGGCTGTCTGAGTCGCCGCCCCAAGCCGGCGCGCTGTTGGGCGAAACCACGAGGGTGGCAGCTCTCTCGCAAGTGCGCAGCTAACTGGGGCCCTCCAGTCATGCTGATGATGCGGCTAACGTGCAGTGTGATTCTTGGAAAAGCATCTAGGATGGTGGGTAGCCTCCTTGGGCGATCTCAATCACGCGCTCGCGCAGCTTCGTGGCATGGCTCTTCGCATACCGCCAACGGGGAATGCAAGAGGTGGGGAAAGCTGCCGAGTTTTTTCCTGACAGGACCGCTGTGGGAGCCGACATGTGGCGCCCCGCGCGCTGGGCCCCGGCATCTGATGTGGCTTGTTTTCGTTATGGCATATGTGTCCTACCTGTGTGAAGCTTAGTCCTCTTGGCCTTAACAGCTGCGACGCGTGCGCGTTGTTCTACTTCAGAAACCGACGGTCGGGCATCGTTCGATCGCTCTCTTGGTTTCGTTATATCGTGCATGGGCATGGGCCAAGGCCAGACGTGATCATGCGCGAGCTTGGCCCAATCGGCTAGGCCGTCCTTTTCTCGCACTTGGCACTGGAAGGTCGACGACAGACGTCGCTTCCAGAGTCTTGCCCCATGGCTAGGCTCACCCCCTTCAGGAAATTCTTCGAAGGTGGATGGTATTTGCTTGCGCGCCATCGTAGACATCGAGAAGCCATCGTGGGCCGCCACTGCGCGCGTCGCCGTCAAGCGCGGCTCCCCTGGAGCACTGGTGCGTCTAGCAATGCGAATGTACACGTACGAGCAACGTATAGCTGGGGCTGGCGCCGTCTCCGAACTTGTTTTCGCTTCTCGGGGGGTTCTGCCTGGGTGTAGCATGGGAGTGTTCATAGCACAGCTGGTTTTACTGACCCCAGGGGATTCGCTGCATGGTAGATCTGTGCCCATCGATCGCGCGCTGCGCGCGTGTGCAGGCGACCTGACTACCCATGTGAAGGTTGCCTGTGAACACATGTTCGAGCTCGCGCGCTATGTTTTGAAGGGCATGGTTGATTTGGTAGAATCCATCGATTTGGTCCCGCCAAGCACAATATTACCGTGACGCGTGCATGTCCTTCGGTGGCCAAGCGCGCGCAGAGCGCTCTTGGGTGCTAGGGGTATCACGACCAGTCGGCGCGCGAAGTCCTGGGGATCGAAGTCAGTGCAGGGCGTGCTCTTCGCGGTCAGTAGCATGAGGCTAGGGGTCGCGCGATAAGCGGTCGATTCCCCCGACTCCGACGCCCGCGCAAAGCAGGGGCTCTCGCGGGGAAGTTGTAAAGGCTGCTGCTCCTGCTGCTGTCTAGCTAGCTCCACGCGCAAGGCCATGCGCAGCGCATGGCGCGAACCCGCGATGGCAGGACCAGCTTGGATATCATCATTCCTACACGGCGGGGCTACTCAGGACCTTCAGATTGCAGCCTGGCAGATCCCCTATCTTCCAATGGTGTCTCCTATGTTGGGATCCCGCTCAGCAGGCGCCACTGCAGGCTGGCTCGGAAACGACCGGCTTCATGCATTTATTCTTCAAAGCAGCCATGGGGGCAAATTTAAGGTATTGATGGGGCTGCCCTACTTGCTTTTCGGTCGTTGAGGTGGGTTTCGTCATCGGCTTCCGCGGTTCGTGCCGATCGCGGGGAAATCCTCGACCTTCGAAAAGCTTCGCCTCTAGCTGTGCGTGATATGGCTCGTGATGATGCGGTGCGTCGCTTGTAGCAAGACTGGGCTGCTCGACCTGATTGGGGCAACTCGCGTCGACTGGGCCCCAGGGCCCCAGCAGGGCACTAGCTGGGGCCCATCGTGTTCCTGTCGGGGAAAGCCCGACAGGACGAGGACCCAGACAAGCCCTGTATATCATCCGAGCGAACTGCTGGCACGCACAGGGCCATGGCCACTGGAGGATTGTGGACCCCTTCTATATGGGATGTTTGTGTTTATTAATTGTGCCCCGAGCCTTACACTGACTTCTGTCATGTTCCCTGGGCGTGCGCTTGTAACGAAGAGGGTCGGAATGAACTTTTCGATGACAATGGCAAGGCTGCGCTTCCCCGCCTTGCCTCTACCTCGTGGTTTTGGACGCGGGGGATGTTTTCCATGTCGATCTTCCTTGTTCCACCCCCTCGCGATGACTCGTGCACCTGGCGTTCGATGCGCGGAGATCGCCAGATGGTTGCGGGGCACGTTTTCTCGGATGGAGCTTGCCATAAGTACCAATGCTGGCCCGCGGCTTCTCGAGCAGGATGGGGTTTCGTGCCGGTCGGGGTCGCTGCGCGTCAGTTCGCGCGCATGGGCCTCTGCTTGGCCCCGCGCAGACTCCCCCAGGGCCGAGCTCTGCGCGGCGACTCAGATCCTCAGGGTGGCCGTGTTGCCGCTCACCGTCTACGCTGATTATCTAGATTTTCCAGCTGGCCTCGCGCGCGGGCTTTCCTGGGGGTTTAGCGTTTGAGATCTGGCGCGGGGTCGAAGACTTGGGAGGTCTTCGCTCTGAGCTTCAGATGTTTCACGTTCCTGGGCACCAGGCGGGGCTGTCTTTCGAAGCCCGCGGGAATCGCTGTGTCGATTTCGCGGCCTGTCAGGGCTGAGGTACGCGCGCTGTTTCGGTTATGGAAGCCCGTTTCATGGGGCGGCTCTATAAGATTGCCAGCCAATCGCTGGCCTGGCCGGCCAGAGCTCACCCGATACATATGAGTGAAGCTGCTGTGCCGGGCCAGGATCGGCTCGAGCAAAGACGGAAGGCTCGCCTTTCAGCCGTTGCTCGGGCCGCTGCCCCCCTGGACAATGGCAGGCCGCGCGTTTCCTTTGCGACGGGCGCTGCGCGGCGCTGCCCGACCCGTGCTGAGGCGGCCAGGTCCACGAAACAGCGCAAGATATTCGCAATGCGCCGATGCCCTGCGAAGACGGCTCATTGCGCGCAGCTTCTGGAGCAGGCTTCCCGTGCAACGTTGCCTTCTGACGCTGTTTCGGGGGTCCTGGCACGCGCGCCCACGCGCGGGGATGGAGGCGCTGGCTCCGCCGAAGGCATGGCCGCCGATCTCGAGGCGACTAATGATAATGGGGGGGTCTCGGCGGTCGGGGGGGGGGGCTCTGGTGGAGTTGCCCGGGCCCGCGGGGCTTCGCCGAGTGGCCGACGAACCAAGGCGAGACCCCAAGGCTCTGACGAGCTTGCGAACCCTCCTGTCGATCCTCCTGGCCCGCCCACCTCGTCTCAGCCTGATGCCGTGCACTTGGATAGTTGTGACGCGGGCCCCGCGGCATCATGGGCCGCCGATTTTGATGCCATGATCGCCGACGAGACGAACTGCCAAGATAAACTCGGGGGCGGTAGAGCGTCGTCCCCGCCGTCGCATGCGTCAGAGGATAAGGCAATCCAGCACTGGTGTTGATCCAGCTCGCTCGCTGCGAGCTCCCCTCTTTCCTGGGTGTCCTCCTTCCCCTCCTGCTGCTGCTCCTCCTGCTGCCTGTGCGAGACCTCGCTCTCCTGCCTCCTCTCCTTCCTCGGGTGGTGCGGGGCGCGGGTGGAGGGGCCGCCCCCGCCCCCGAGCGGGCCGAGAGTCCGCCTCGCTCCCCGTGGCCACGGGGCGCTCGCCGACGCCGTCGGCGCGACGGGGGCCCGCCCCGCTGTTCCCCCCCTCCCCCCCTTCCCCCCCCCTGGCTTCAGCGCCCCCCCCTTCGCTCTGGCCCTCCTCGCGCCCCCCGTGCCCTGGCCTCAGCCCCCCTCGCCCCGTCGTCGTCCTCGCCTCCGCCCCCCTTCCCCCCTTGGCTCTGGCCCCCCTGGCCTTCACCCCAGCCCCCCTCGCCTCGCCCCGTGCTCTGGCCCTCGCCCCCCTCGGCTCCAGTCCCCCTGGCCCTGGCCCCAGCTTCCCCTCGCTCCCCCTCTCGCGCGCGAGAGAGAGCCGCCCTTCCAATCTCGGAGGGCGGCTCCCCGAGGTGGGCCGCTCGTGCCGAACTGACGGCCCGCCTTGCCTCCCCCCTCCGTCGGGGACCTTCCCCCCTCGTCCGCGCGTGGGCATCGGCCCTTTGCTGCGCCAGGGAAGGTCATTATCTCTGCTGTGTTGTGGGGGAACATTGACGGGCAGGGCTTCGGCGTTGCTCGACCCCGGCCCCCCGACTCACTCGAAGAGGGGGCTTTCTCATGTCCATCGCTTCGAGACTCTTCGGCGCCCGTCCGACTTGCGTCGTCATCAAATGGCTTTGGACACCCGTAGGCTTCAGGTCTCTGGTCCAGAAGTAGATTGGCTGCAGATCGAATAACTCGTTATTCGCTTTCCTTTATTTCGAGCTTATTTTTTTGTATAAGCTCGACGCTGCGCGCGGGCCCCCCCCGGCCGTGATTCTTTGATGGGCAAGCGGGTGGGGGTCGCACCGTGCGGTGGACTTGGGCCAATGGTTCGGGTCCGCCCTCGCACCGCGCGACGGACTCCTCTTCAGCCTGCGTGCTCCTTCTCCTCCTCCTCCTCCTCCTCCTCCTCCTCCTCCTCATCATCATCATCCTCCTCCCCCTCCTGATCCTCCTCCTCTTCCTCCTCCTCCTCCTCCTCCTCCTCCTCGCCGTCCTCGTCGTGTTCCTCCTCCTCATCATCATCCTCCTCCTCTTCTCGCAGTCCTCCTCCTCCTCCTCCTCCTTCTCCTCCTCCTCGTCGTCCTCCTCCTCCCCTCCCCTCGTGCGCGCCGCGACCACGAGGAGTCGCCAAAGGCCGCGCCGGACGACGACCTGGGCCCCTTCGGGGCCGCGATCCAGAGCTTCGAGGGGAAAGCCAGTGGTGGCCGCAGGGCCTGAGGCGAGCGTCGTGCGCCGCCGGGCGCCGCCCCTCGCCGCGCTCTCGGGCCCCCACAGCGCTGCAGTCCGCTCGGCCCTCGCTCGAGGAAGATGCTCGGAGGTGGACAGGCCTCCTACGGTAGGTTTGCGTCGTGTCGACCAGCGGCGACCCCAGCGCGGGCGTTCAAGGTTGAACGCCGCGGGCGACCCAGAATCGATCGATGTGGAACGATTTGGACGTTTCGGAAACGGCCGATCGTTCAAGGTTGAACGATCCCTGCGGTGTCAAAAACCAACGCCGGGGTCGACACGACACGAACCTGCCGTACCCTGACTCGTCGATTAAGGAATTGGCCGTTTTCAGTTCGTGAGAGGGCGTCGCGGCCGTCCTCTTTGCGGGTCCAGGTCCGTCGATTTCGGCCCCAGGTCGTGTTCACGGAGGGGAGGTTTACGAAAGGGAGGTTTGTCCACCGCCGAGATACAATGGCCAGAGCAAGAACTTTCCCAGAATCCGGTTCGACAACGCTCGTTGGGAGCAGTTCGCTCTACGCTCGGGGTGCCGGGGTGCGCAGCATGCAGCGAGACTGGTGCAATCGTCGCGCAATCCGAGGTGCGCTGAGGACTTCTCGGGTCGGCGCTGAGGGACCCCCCTGGGGCGGTCCACGTGCTAGGGGGCCACACGCGAACCCTACCCCTACCCCCCACGATTTCTGAGGGGGAGGGTGGGGTTCGCTTCGTTCGGGAGCTCCCAGGCGAAGTGAACCCCACCCTCCCCCTCAGAAATCGTGGGGGGTAGGGGTAGGGTTCGCGTGTGGCCCCCTGGTGCGGACCCAGGAAGTCCGCTCGGAGCTCCGAAAGTCTGTGCTCGTGCCGATTCCTCTTCTTCCGGCAGCGCCGCCGGCAGCCAGCGCGCGGGCGCCGCGGGGGGGCAGCTGGCGCCGTCGCCGCCTTCAGACCGCCGCGCGTGATGGTTAAAAGGCTGCCGCTCCGCTCGGCTCCCGCTCGGCTCCCGCCGCCGTCCTCGTCGCTCCTCGCCACCTCTTCTTGGGGAGAAGGGAGGCCGACAGACGCCCAATTGCCAAGAGGAAGGACGGTGGCCCAGCCTCCTGCGCGAGGCCAGCGATCCGGAAGCCATACCTAGGCATCGGCCTGTCCGGCTATTGCCCAGGCGGTCTTCCACGGAGCCAGGGCCTGGGCGGCCGCTGTTTGCCACTGTGTCGGAGGAGCAGGAGGATGAGTGGGAGACGAGTTTACGGAGGTCTGACCGGCTGCTACCCGCCACAGGGGCGTCATTTCAGCAGTTTTTGTAAGGCGTCGGTGTTGAGCCGATCGGCCTGAGCACCTCGCTCAGCATCGTACCTCCGCCGCGCCCCCTCGTTCTCGGCAGGGCCATCCGTGGCGCCGCCCGCACACAGCCATCGTCACCACAACGACCACTTGCATGGAAGCCAGTTGAGTCCGTTCATGCTGTCCGCTATCGTCCCCTCCTGCTTGCCCCTCCTTCTTCTCCTCCCAAAAACAAACTTGCACGGACGCCACTGACCCAGTCAGGGCTGGTCATCGGCTCTGGACGATGCGGTGCCATCGCCGCCGCTCTCATCGCGGCGCCCCTGGCCGAGCTCCCGCCGGCGGCGGCGCTGGACGCCGCGGCTGGGCGCACGCAGGCTGCCATGTCCACCGCGTTCGCTTGGCACCAGCTGTTCGACCTGCCGCAGCCAGGAGGCTGCCTGGTCAGAGCGATCGACACGAGCGCGCCGAGCGCCGCCCTCACGGCGAACGTGCGGGCCGTGGGCGTGTGTCTCCGTGGCCCAGGAATTCTGGCCATTGGCACTTTGTCTCAGCACCGTCACCACAGTTGTCACCATCGCCGCTGGAATCGTCATCGGCACCATCACGTGTCCGCGGCAAGGGCCCCTTGCCTTCCTGTTGCCGTCCACGCGGCCCGAGCAAGCTTGACCAAGGCCACTTCGGCTCAGATCGCATCAGCTCGGGCGCGAGTTTGGTAGTGGAGGCGGCCTTGCCTGCGAGGTTGCCAAGCCCAGGGCATCCCCTGGACGACGGCGCGCGAGGCCTGTGCGCGACGCAGGACAGAACATCGGCCGCAAACACCCATATACATATATATGTATATATATACCTACACGATTACCCTTCGGGTGATAAAGAGGTTGTGGGGGGGAGAGGGGGGGGAACCAACATCTGACTCAAGCGATCTCACTATCGATGTCACTCAACGGGACACCACGGGACACCACGGGACACTTGTCGATCTCACTATCGATCTCACTATCGATCTCACTCAAGGGGACACCACGGGCCACCAGGGACACCACGGGACACCGCGGGACACCGCGGGACACCTCTCGATCTGACTATCGGTCTAACTATCGATCTAACTATCGATCTCAATCAACGGGGCACCACGGGACACCGCGGGACACCACATCGATCTCACTATCGATCTCACTATCGATCTCTCTCAACGGGACACCACGGGACATCTCGGGATACCACATCGATCTCACTATCGATCTCACTCAACGAGACACCACGGGACACTTGTCGATCTCACTATCGATCTCACTATCGGTCTCACTCAACGGGACACCACGGGACACCATGGGACACCACGGGACACCACGGGACACCACGGGACACCGCAATACACCGCGAGCCACCGCCGGACGGGCGGGCGGGAGGGGGAGAATAATTTGGCTTGACTTTGCCCTAGCAACGGCGGACACCACGGGACACCACGAGCCACCGCTGGACGGGCGGGCGGAAGGGGGAGAACCATTTGTCTTGACTTCGCCCTAGCAACGGCGGGTTCATTCTTCTCGCGCGCCCTCGCAGCTTCGCCTCGCCCGCACGCACGACACGAACGAAACGAAATGGTTTCCCAGTTTGGGGTCTCCGTCTTTCTGCGATCTCACCCCCCAACCTCCGATGTACTTGTAAGTGTTTATATACATGTATTTGTACACACGCATTTACACATACATTTCCTATATATATATACACATAATAATTTGTGAGTGTGTATATAATATGCGTATACATGCATGCATGCATGCATGCATGTATGTATGTGTGTATGTGCGTATGTATGTATGCATGCATGTACGTATGTATGTATGTATGTATGTATGTATATGTATGTATGTATATGTATGTATGTATGTAGGTAGGTAGGTAGGTAGGTAGGTATGCATGCATGTATGTATGTATGTATGCATGTGCGTATGTATGTATGTATGTATGTATGTATGCATGTATGCATGTATGCATGTATGCATGTATGCATGTATGCATGTATGCATGTATGCATGTATGTATGTATATATGTATGTATGTATGAACATATGTATATATATATGTACGTATATTTGTATGTATATATGTATGTATGTATGGACGGATGGACGGATGGACGTGTGTATGTTGGTTTGTTTGTATGTACGTATGTATGTATGTATGTATGTATGTATGTATGTATGTATGTATGTATGTATGTATGCATTCATGCATGCATGTAGGTATGTATGTATGATAATGTTAGCGCAGCAGCCGCCCCAAGGTCGCGCGTGGCCGCCCTCTTTTTTAATCGCGTGGTGCGCCGAGCTGGCGGCCTCGGGAATCCATCGCGTGAGGTCGCCGCGTCTTTTCGTGCGCAGAGCCGTCGCCATATTTGTGCCTTCGTCGTTCTCGCATCGTGCGCCCCACGCGCTTTGTCGATGGGTGGACCGTGGCAGGCGTGTGGGCGGCACGGCGGCTACCTCACGCGAGGCAAGTGCAAACCTGCCTGGCTTGGCGCAGCGCTGACGGCGAATGGCTGGCCGACTGGTGGCGCCGGCGGCGGCGGCGACGACAACCCCCAGACCCAAATTTGCCCTGGTTGCCTTCGGATCCGAATTTCGAGGCGGATCCAGCCATGGCCGCGCGGACGCGTCCCAATGGGAGGCCCAAGGCCCAAAGCAGGGCACAACTCTTTCAGAAACCCTACGAAAGATCCTCGAACCTCGATCGGCGGGTCGCTGGCCCTGGTATCTCTCGACCCCTTCCCTGGGATTAAATAGCTTTGCATCCTGAGTTGTTTCTCGGGACCTCCGAACAGTGTGGTGATCACACCGTGTGGTGAGTCAGGGGGGATTCGGGGTGACCGCACGGTTTTGGGACTCGTGTCCTTCTCCGAGAATGTCTTGGGCGACTGGGGCCGCCAGGGTCCCAAAACGGTGCGGTAATGGACCGTACGGTGAGGTCCTTGGGGGTTCCAAGGTCACCGCTGGGTCTGTCACCGAACCGTTTTGGGACCCCGCCAAGTCTTGTGACGTCCCCATGCAGCCCACCGCCAGGGCGCCGCAGACGGCGACCAGACCTCCGAGCACAATCTGCTCCGAGCCAACCGGAGGTCCTGGCCCCTGGCTAGGCTTTCTGCCCTGGGGCACAACTGGAGGCCCCAGGGGGCCCCCAGAAGGCTCCCGTGGGGCAGTCCGAGCTCCTGCACGCCGACGTCGCCGATGCGTCGGCGATGCGGCGCGATGCTCCGACCACACCTGCTTGGACCCCACTGGGGAGGCCCCTGCACCAGAGCCCAAGGAGGACCAGAAGCTGTCAACAACCTCGGCCCTCGACCTCCGACAGAGGGGCGACGGGCATCCGGCGCGGCAGCTTGCCCCGGCCCGGGGCGCGCGCCCGCGCAGGCCGCGCCCGCCGCCGGCCTCCACGCGCCACTGCCGCTGCCGCCCCCGGGGAGCTGGCGCCGACCGGAGACGCCGCCCTGCCAGGCCGCTTTCGGGGAGGGGTGCTCGATCGGGGAGGCCTCTGCCGGCTTTGCCGCTGCTCTCTCCCGCCATCGTCGAGCACGCTGTGCACATCGGGGCGGAGGCGGCACGAAGTCTGGACTCCCATCGGAGTGTCCTGCACGC